GAATGATATTGTAAAAAAACTTTCATGTTCAGAAGAGTGTCGCTGTTGACAGATGTACGACAGCTGATTCCTTCGCATCTCTTTTGAACTGTATTCTAATCAACATACAATGGCGAGTCATCAGGGACGTATAAACTGCAAGCGTCCTTTGGACGGTTTCCTAGATGCGTTCCGCAATACAGCAATTATGGAATATTGAATCTTATGCAAATTTCATTGGAGGGGCAACTTTGAACAAACTCCGATTAATCGCACTGGCGAGCAATTTGTCCAATCATACCTGTAATATTTTATTAAGATTGATATTATTAATTTTGTAAATTTTATATGCAAAAAGATCAACAAATTAAACAGAAATTTTAATTTAAGCAATTATCTCGACTAAATTAATTATCTAATTAAGAGAATTAATATAATTATGAAATCATATAGCATATATGTTGGAATATGCTATCTGGGTCTGTTCTTTTCAGTCCTTTTCTTTTATGTCGTAAAGTTGTTATAATTTATAATTGTAGTGTTTATAGTTTTAATACGTTTTGTATTTTTAGTATAAACTTTTGTAGAGAGAGAGAGTCAGAGAAAATAAAAATCGAAAATAATATTGAAATAAACAGTAAAATTTAATAATATATGTATATAGTAACAACTGTATAATAAAGTAAACTTTCTTTCGATACTCACGGATAGGATTATACGTTTATCACTTGTTCCTCGCATTTAAATATATCCAAAAATTATTTTATTTAACTGAAATGTGTATGAAACGATATAAATTATTTAAAAATAGATAAATAAACGATATAGATATTCGATATTTTTCAGTTCTCTCTCCTCTTTAATTGGAGTTTGATCGAAGGAATGCGAAGTACTATAGGATATGTAAAGACAATAATAAAAAATCCTTTCCGTCCTTTCCAATTTAAGAAGAGTGCAACACAGTGAATCATTGCATCTTCGTTGTTTGCCAATGTTAAACAAAGGATAAAATGATCACTGGGCCATATTATATGTCCCTTTCTGGTAACCACCAAATTATAATAGAAAAATAGACGAGAGTACGAGGACTGGGAAACGGTGCATACAGCACTGATGGAGGCATCGCTCGGAGCGCGCTGGCGTTCGACGGAGTCTGCAATAAACAAACTCCAAGTGATCTCCAGGTAAAAAAGCGTATACGTCCGATACTCTATCTCGCTGCAACTACGATCGCGAGGAGTCGCGCTGTCAACAGTCGAGCGGCTTCGGGGGGCAAGCTAGAATTGTGCGAACGTCGCGGGAGCAGCCGTCGAAGGAACGCCGCGGAGATGGGCAGCACGGACAAGGCCGTGATCACGGGGTTCATATGCAGGCTCTGCAGTAAGATGAACCGCTTCGTGATCCACATCTACGGGGAAGAGGGCGAGAGAATGAAACTCGCCGAGAAGATTAACACCTATCTGCCGATCACGGTAATTTCTACGTGCCGTTCTGTATCACACGATCCTTCAGGAACCGCGTTAAGCATTTCGCCCGGTGCGGAACTCCTTGATCGATCTCTCGCATTTTGCACAGATCTTTATCCTGAGGCAATGCAAGTATCTGCAAAGAGAAAAAAAAGATCCCAAGTCTATATAACGATATAAATATCCTGTGGTTTTTTCTTTGAAAGCTTATACCACTTCACCTCTTGATGTGTTTTACAAATACAGAACATTGTCAGATTTTGTAAGAACTATCGACACCATCTTTTTTTACAAATGATTTTCTATCACCAACCACTTTATCATCTATATAATTTGATATTTAAAGAAACATAATAAAATAATTTTGTATACATTTGTGCAGGTAAACATGAACGACCCGCTACCAAAGACTGCATGTTTACATTGTATTGAACGATTAGAGGCGCATCATGAGTTAATGGAACAAATCATGTACACCAGGCGGAGATTAAACACTGATAATAAGGCGACCGCAGTAGCATCCTCTTCCGCGACAACCGTAGACACAGCTCCGACATCTAGCCCACCTCCTTGTTGACATGTGCAATGGAACATAGTATATCCTTTCGCTCAAAGCGCCATTCGCCAAGCTCGGATGATTCCCATATAATTTTTCATTTCATTTTAACTGATTATAAGTGAAACGTGTAAAGGAAAGGACAGAGGATAACATTACATTTTCCTACATAAACACGATATTTTCATGTTACATTACTCGTTTCGAACAAGTATTCATTAATGGTATTAAAGAAAATTATTCAATGCCAATGTCCACTACTATTTTCTGAGGGAACAAAATATCTCAAAAATATAGAAAATAATTAAACGGAACAAAAGAAATGATATAACGTTGCATAAAGAATTACATTTCTTTATGTAACGTTATATATATATATATATTTATATATATATATATATAAAAATGCTAATTTTTAATTTGAACAAATTATATGAGGACACATTTTTTTCTTGCTGGTCTATGGTTAATAATGAGCAAACTATTTGGAAGAAAGTAATACTTTAAATGTTCTGGGCAAGCGCAATAATATTGAGATAATCGAAAAAATGCATATATGTGTACAAACGCAGACACACATACACACATATGCATATATATTCACATTATAGGGATGTATAAGATATCTAGCAGTATCCAAAGTATTCACTGGTGTAATTTTAATATTCAGGAGTTTTGTACAATAGATATATCTCTGATAAGGTCTCTCTTATTAACATGAAAAAAATTATTAAAACATTAATAATTTGTTTTACTTTTTAGTTATTAAAAAAATATATTTAATTTTAAAAATAAAAATATGTATATACTTCGAATCTTCAAAGAACCTACAAAGTAATAATACAAATCATAAATTTTGATATAAAGATTATTATTTTGGATTTGTATTGTGTAAAAAATAGTGATTTGTATTACGTAAAAATCTATTGAGAGAAAAATATCAAATGTGCAATTAAAATGATCAAATCAGATTTGGATCATGTTAGCATGATAAATGATAGATAAATGCCCTATATGAAATATAGGAGGCATTAAATCTAACCAAATTCGTTTACAAAATTTAAATTTTATATCTGTTATTTTCGAGATATTGTATATTTGTTCCAGTTAATACAGCGGCTGTTTTTTTATTTATAATTTTGCTTTGTTTGCTGTGGATACGCGATACCCAATACATCTCTTACAATTAGTCACTACACACACACACACACGCACGCACACACACATACACACAACACGTATATATACATATATATATTATTTTATGAATCTTACAATAATTTTTCTTTAAAAATGTTTTATAAGATTCTTTAACTATCTTTAAGGAGATACTGTTGTATCTTTAACGTATCAATTCTACTGATGTACAAAGATATATATTATACTCTTGGAAAACAATCTTTATGCGATACCATATTGTATAATGAAGAATATTGTAGAAATTTCTTAGCTATAAAAAATTAGAGCGTGTAAAATTAAGATATGGAAACTTATACTTATATTACATATAAAGAAGTAAGTCATATTTTAGTCATTGATTTCACACTAAAATTTTCTGTTATTCGTTACGTTGATATACAGAACAAGTGATAAAAGAGATATTGTATATTATGTATTATTATATGTTTGTCATTAATGGTGCATTATGTTAATTGCGTTTATAATCGAAAAAGATATCTTATTAATCTAATACAAGTAAGTGCAAAGTACAATAACATAAATATTTGTATAATTATATTGTATTAAAAAGTAATTTTGCGTAAGTTTTACACAGATGTTAATCTGTTTATCTTTGTTTGCAAGCTATAATGTAATAAATAATATGTATAACAGATTTTTAATATAATTTGCAAAGTTATTTCCATTTTCATTCTACCTTCGGTACATTTTAATATATTCAGAATTTATGTAAATAAAAATGCAGGAGTAGCAACTAATATACGAGAGAACGTTTTTTTTGTTAAGATAAGATTTATTTTTATTCACTGACACAGTTAAATGTTATGTGAAACAATGGTATTTTACTGTTTGGCGATGCAAATTCGCCTTGTGCTTATCATTATATACTATTTCACATTATATGATTTACAGGGAGAATAATTATTTTCAAAAGACAAGAGAAAGAGAGAGAGGATGCATTTGTTACCTTTTTAATGTTTATCATAATGTAGTATACTGTTGATGTTTGAAATCGCAATCATATGCTGCATTCATCGCTTTAAGTGATAATCTGGATTATCAAACTATACAGAATAGTGTTGAGATTCGATAAAATATTTCATCATCAACTATCCAATTAATAATAATGTACATAATACGTCTCTATTAATTATCTCATATTACATCGATATGTTTCCTCTTAATCATCAAAATTTACAATTTCGATTACAAATTAATCTTTAATCTAGAACTTGCCATAAAATAAATTATAAAGTAAATAACACAATCAAATAATTACATTATAAATGAATAATAAAAAATGAGTGATTATCATAGTAAACATTGCACAATTATACTATATTATTTAAGATATTTGCATTTCCATATAACACAAATTATCGAGAACAAGATTTGTGTTAACATCAAAAATGCATCCTCTAGTCTTCTCAAGACAAATATATGTTATTTCGCGACATTTCTGAAATGATTATACAAAATGCGTGGTCATGTCAGACTGTGCGATAAACTATTAAGTTTGACTTATATTCATACACACGTATTGTAAAACTATGTACAATATATAATGAAGAAAAGCTAATGTCCCGCGTTTTTTTCACACTTAAACGTAATTGCGTTCTCACATCATAGAGTTCAAATTGATCTCTTTTTATAAAAAATATATATTTATATATATATATATATATCTAAGAAATTTTATAGACATACACATACACGCGTACACACATACAATGTATGTAAGTATTAAGAGAGTACATTTATAAAATTTTGTTATCTTTTCAACCTATTATATATTTTTTACAAATTTATTTTCATTATTTGATTCATATTTTAGCATTTTTAGCGATGCGTTCTTACAATTAACTTTCACTCTTTTTGCATTTGTCTAATTTCTCTAAACTTGAAGCACTCTTCGACATGTGTGTTGAAATACAAATATAAATGCATCTCTGACGAGTTTCCAATACGTGACGTACGACACTAATGAGTATATAATAACTATTTAATGATGATAGACAAAGTACAACGGTAGCTAAATATAATATGGAAATCAGTAAACCAATAGATATATAGTAGATAAAATATCGTTGAGCTGCGTTCACGATTACTGCAGTCAATTATGAAGAGAAAAAAGAAAATGTCTTACATCCTGATATATATATATATATATCTTTTCACGGGAAATATATATATTTATTTACGTATATCGATATGTCGAAGCTGCGGTTTACTTAGAGCTATGAATGCTTCAAAGCGATCGATTGATCAATTAGAATAAAGAAATCTATGTTTTAAAGCGTTTGTAACACCAAATGCATCGCGACCAATATCGATCATACAAATCATATATTCTTGTATTTTTTAATAAAATATCATTTTTACAAAGTTATATACATAAATTCAAATAGACATAGTATTCTTTCCTTTTTGTCTACCAGTTTCTAAAAATTGCCTTTATTTCATATATGCATATTAATATACAAATACTTTCTCGCCAATATTTACTCGTACAAACATATGTATTTATGTTCATACCCACAATACAATGCTTTACGAAATTTTGCTAGTCTTTAGTATTTACACTTTTTTGCTATATCGAAGACGCAGCATTTGACTAATTCTACAAATCCTTCTTATATAGCTTTTATCTTTTCCTCAACACTTTGTGAAAACAGCTCAACTGCAACCGATATAATCGTACTCGAGAAACGGAAGTGACAGCCAGCTTATATAATTATTTGTTCCCCCAAGATGTCTTTACAGTAACGTAAGCGATAACGCTTTCTCAGCCTTTTTTTTTAGAAGCAAAAAAGGGAAGAGAAGTAACAAAATAAAGAACATCAGTTTTCATCATTTGTACTTTGCATTCAAACGTGTGAAGTCACAAAATGAAATAAAGAGTTTTAGCATTTAAGGTGTTTTCTAACAAGAGATTAGATTGATAAACAACAGGGTGATTCACTGTGTTATACATAATGTACACTGTTAGTTACATCGTGCTGTCTTATCCCTTGCTGGAAAACGCCATTAAACTAGAGATAGTGAACGCCCTTAAAGAGAGATTAACGAAATATGTAATGTACAATAACACAACTATATTGTATATGAATGAATTTATGGAACAAACGCCTTCTTGCACTATATCTTACGACTATATCTACAGTTTATTTAAATAAAGATTATGGACAAATGTTAATGTACCTAAGCAATATTACACAGATAAAAACTGTCATGAATTGTCTGGCGTGATTGCATGATGCCCGTGCCAATTGAATAATGCTTACAATAGTCCCATTTAGTACTCGAAAGAATAATCTTTCAGCGTTGTCTATCACGAACAAGCCTGCTGCATTTCTGCTTTAGCTGCTTTCATTGCTGTAAGAGAACATTTTTAGATTAATTCTACGTCAACGAGACAGATGTAAATGAGAATGAATTTTTTTTCGATTATATGTGGTCTATGTTTGTAGCAAATGATATTATTGAGTGATACATGATATGTTATAAAAATAAAATTGTAGTCATGTGGAGTTATTAACATTACTTGGAGGGAAAGTATGAAAGAATATCATTAGATTTTTACCTTCTCGCTCTCGTCTTCTTAATTTCTTTCGACGTCTTTCTATAGTAGCAAGTTCAACCTTTACGGCATTATATGTCTTACGTAAGTCGGATAATTTCTGCTGTAGTACAGCTATCCTTTGACTACCGTCCAATTCAGGATCTGTGAAAATACAATATATAGCAACATATAGATTAGTTTTAGAAAATATTTTTGCTCAGGATTATAAGCAATCAAATGAGCAAAGATCCTCACTATATTTAACATGATCAGATTGTGCAAACAAAAAAGTATACATTACTCAACGTACCCAATTCGACATAAAAATTGTACTTTGTTGGTCTCGGTGATCTTGACGAGTAAGTACTGAGATCGGGAACGTTGGTGATGGTGCTCGTGTGATTCGTCGGCGTGTTGTTGACACTACAGAGATTGAATCCCTCACTAGTGTCATCGCTGTCGCTCCCAGCTCCATATCTACCATGCCTACCGTTCTGTCTGCCGGGTTTCTTCGGAATCGTCCCGCCGCCGCTGCCACTGTTACCACCACTGCCACTACCACTGCCATTGCCACTGTCATTGCCACTGCCACCGCCACCACCATTGCCGCCACCGCCACCATTGCTACTGCTACTGCTGCTACTGCTGCTGCTGCTGCTGCTACCGCTGCAACCAGTGCTGGCGCCAACGCCTACGCCAATATCAACGCCAACACCGACGCCAACATCGACGCCGACACCAACGCTAACGGTGCTGTTTCCACCACTGCCGCATTCTGAATGTTTTCTGTTTCTCTTGCGTTTCTTGGGTGACTGCATGTCATCGACTCCACGTTTGGCGGGTGGCTTAGGAATCCTGTCCGCAGAGTTATTTTCAGAATTGGGTAGAGCGTCGTCTTCGCTGAAGCTCGGTCCTTTGCCGGCGCTATCATTGTCCACCTCGGAATTCTCGCGATTGAGCTTGATGTTATCTTCGGACATCGGCGACGAACCACCGGTTCTCTCCTCCCTAGGTGAGCCTGAGATGTTGGAAATGCTCGAATCGGGTGTCGTCGGCGGTGTATTATCCATCACCGGCGCGGCTTCATTGCTCTCACGTCGTTGTGATGGCATTAAAGCCATGTATTGATGTTGATGATGTTGTTGCTGTTGCTGCTGTTGCTGTTGTGACTGTCGCATGTTTAAAGATGCGTTTTGCTGCGTTGGCAGCGAAACCGGCATCGACGCTTCCACAGTCTTCGGCAATGCCATGCTGAGGGTAGCAACGGTGCTGCTGCTCGTTGTACTTTGACCCGAGGTCGGCGCGCTCGCGAAAGGCATTTCCATCAGTACTATACTGTTTTCCGTGACTTCATTCTTCGGCGAACTGCACGAAGGATCGATATTGGCTTGTTCGATGCTCTCGGACATTGGAGCCGGTGAGCCAGGTATCTCCTCTTCGCATAGCAGCGAATTCATCGTTTCACCCTCTTCATCTGTCTTCAAAACGGGTGTTACATCGGTCTTGAACTCAGTACACTCCTGCTCTTGCTGCTGTTGATGGACAGTTTGTGAAGTTTTCAATACCTGCGATCTCGCGTATCTCTCTTGCGTATTTTCTATGCGATCCAATTCCGCTTGTAGCTTTACGTCAAAAGTAGACGTTGGTACTTTGATGTCTTGTGGTTCTTCGTTGTCTATTACGAGCCTTTGTTCGGAATCACTACTATCTGTGGAATCTATAATATCTTGATTAATTTGTTTTTTACGATTCTCAATTCTTTCTCGGTCTTTCTCTTTCTGATCCGTTGCTTTATATTCTTCTTCAGGCTTTTTATCAGATATCTCATATCCGGCATTTCTCCAACTTTCGTCTCTCGTGGTATCTTGTAGCTTAGTCTTGTGTTCAGCGACTACTTTTTCTGATAACTTCTTCGGATCTGCTTCTTTCTTCGATTTCGATAGTTCTTCTTCTTTTCGCTTAGGTGCATTAACCACGCGCATAATCTCTCTGCGGAAATTTTCATCATTCGTGATTTTTTCCTGTTCGCGTTTTTTATCTACCTCGGCCACATTATCATCTTTGATCTTTGATATATCCGCATCTTTGCCTTTTTGAAAAGTAGCGTCTAATTTCTTAGACACTTCCTTCATTGTCTTCATTACGCGCGAGTCATTTTCCTCGTCTAAAGTCTTCTTGGTATCTTTAGTTTTGCTTCTATACGCCAACGCGGCCGATAACTTTTCTTCTATTGTGGATGTTGCCGGCAGCCGTGCGCTTATAGGAGCTGGCGGTATCATGATCGACGATGGAACCGGAACGATATCGAGCAACTTGGAATCCAACATTTTCAATTCTGATTGTGACTGTCCAGCTGAGACTTGACTTGGTAAAGGCTTGACTTGGCTCTGTTTCTGATCCAGGATATTGGTGGATTTATTACTAGTGCTCGTATTAATCGGCGTTTCTTCTTTCACGCTTTCAACTAAAGTGTTTGCTTCGTTCTTGCTCGATTCCGCAGTGTCCGGCGATTTGCCGCTTTGGAACTGAATCTCTTGTTGATATGTAAACACATTTTCTTGTTCCGTCTCCGATACCTCGGTCTCTGATATTATCAGACGGTCCTCGGAATCTTCGCGTGTACCTTCATCATCCGCCGGCAAATCGTTAAACAAAAGATTTAAGCCAGATACTTTATTACTAGATTCTTCCGCGATAGTCGATTTCACTTGATTGAACGATAATGTGGATGTATCACACAGTTTGTTGAAAACGTCCTCACATGATATACACGATGCGACCTGTGACGATTTGTTGGGAGCAGTCGTCACTGCTTCGTGCGTATCGTCAGACTTCTTGCCGAACAACTTCCTCGGCTTCTTTCGAGAATCGTTCTCCGGTAGTTCCGATTTCGTTTCCTTTGCTACCGATGCTGTAACAGGCGTTTTTTGCTTCTTCTTCGGACTCTTCATCTCCTCTTCGAACATCCTCTTCTTCAATTTATCTTTATCACTGTTGGTGTCTCTTTTATTTCTTACTTCAAACTCGAATGGTTCCGGTTCTTTAAATTCATATATGTCTTCCGTGTTTTCCACTTTTGTTTCAACAACTTCTACCTTTAGAGACTCGATAGTTTTCTCTAACTTGGGTGACACTGTGATCGCGGCCACGTTTTCCTTCTCGTCCAACTTGATTTCGTCCTCAGCCTCCATTCTAATCTCTAACTTGACAGCTTTGTCGAAACCTTTCAATTCAGATCGTATTTGATTGAGATCGAAATCCCGACCCTTCGGTTGCTCCTCTTGGTCGCTATCAGGTTCAGATTTGATGCCTTGAGATTTACCGGGCATTCTTCTTAAACGCCTACCTTTACGTGGTTCGTCCAAGTTGTCTTTATCGTCCTCAGCATCACTGGCATCATCTGTTCTAATTCTCTCTTCTGCTCTTCGCTCCTTCCGTTTTCTTTCTTCCGTCTTTTCTCTTAATCTGGTTTTGGTTTGCTCGGGCTCGGTGGTATCAGACTCGTAACCCTCACTATCCTCGCTTTCCGATGCGACAGATATATCCGTATGTCCTGAGGTTCTCCTGGTTCGCCTACGATGTTCTATTCCCGATAACTCTGCATTTCTAGTTATCCTTGTTGGTCTATTGGCGGGTGTGGCAGGACTCTTAGTTCTGGAGCTACAACTAGCGATAGACAGCGGTGTAGTGGATCTAGGTTGTATTGTTTCCTTGTCTTTCTCTTCCTTCTTAGTTTCCTTTGTAGATGTTGAAGCTGATTGAACGGCGCTAGTCGAAGTAGGAGCGACGCTTTGCGCTCGGCGACGACTTTGAGTTGCGTTAACGCTTGAAGCACCTTTCAACTTATTGGATGAATTCGTGCTGGGAGTTTGAGGCCTGGGAGTTGCTTTGATGCGCTTTACTTTACCTTGAGCTTGCGTAATATTTTGAGCGATTCTAGACGCTTTGATCCACTCGTCATATCTGTTGTTCCAGCCTGTGTAATGTACAAGATACATTGGCTCCGGACCTTCCTTCTCTATTTCGATAACTTTTGCTTCGTAAGTAACTTTAGATTCGTGTGTTGGACCATAATATACTATCAATTTATCGCCACACTCTACGGGACCCTTATAGCAAGGGGCGGTCTCTGTAAGCTGTTCATCTGTGCGTGACTTTTCCGTTTCGCATTCTTTACGTTTCCTTCCTCGTTTCTTTAATTCTTCATCTGTTAAACGTCGTTGCTTAGACACCGTTTTCTTATCAGCCTCTCTAGATGGTGTTCGAGTTTCCCTTCCTTCGGAAGCACCTTTATTTCTCACAGTATCATCTTTTGCCTTGGATCTCGTCTTGGTGGCTTCTTCCTCCTTGACTTTTTCATCCTTCTTTTCTTGTTTCTTGGTTTCGGTTTTCTTCTTCTCAGTTGCCTTCTTCTTGGTGTCTTCTTTACTTTTTGACTTGGTCCGACTGGATGATGTAGTTGTAGTACCACACGAAGTAGGAGATAATGCAGAAATTTGCGTGGTCGGTTTTTGCGATTTTTCATTATTGGATGATGATTCAGTATCTACTTCCACGTTCACATCGCTCTCCTGACCACTACCATTTCCCTCAGGTTCTTCTTTCTTTTTAATTTTAATTTCTTCTTCTTTCACTTGTTCCTTTTTAACTTCCTTCTTCTCTTTCTTCTCATCCTCCACGACTTTCTTCTCATCTTCATCCTTGTCGTTTTTCACTTGCGCTGGTGTTGGCGGCGGTATAGGAGTATTTCTGTCTTTGTCGCGGATTAGACTTCTTCCAGGACGTTGTTTACGCGTGCTACCTCGCGGATGGTTCACCATGGTGCAGCCTAATTTTCTATAGAAATCTTCAAAGGAGTGTAAAACCTTCTTGTAAGCCTGTTTCACAAGATTGTACAAAGACGTCGAGTTTTGCATGGAAAAACCAAGTCGTCGTGTTACAGCTTTCCATTGATTCTGATTTGTAACACGATTATAGCCACCCAGTTTGTAGACCGCTCGGAAAAGCCGATACAAGTCTATATCCTCATTTCCAATCATCGGGCAAACGTTTATAGGTGTGCCGCGATCATCCATAAATTTATACAATTGAGCCACAAAATGATCTTTTTCTTCACGCGGTTCGTCGTCCGAACTCTATAAAAATCATATTCCATTTTATGTTCCGTTCAATAGTCATTACATAATGTAAAAGAAAAAGCAAAAACATAAATAAGTAGAAATCTTACATCTGAATCAAGTTCTCCATCGTAATCGCTATTGCCACTAGAAACAGAATGCCCAAACAGGGAATCCCTGTCCCAATGAGGTGGTAACTCATTTTTCTCTAAAAATAGCAGCGCTTTTTCTACTGCAACCTTCAAAGTACTGTTTTCAACTTTATTAACTAATTCTTTTGTGAATTCTGTGGCTTCCTTTTTGGGCACTGTATAACTAAAAAAAATTATATAAATATTTATAGTAATTTAACAAAATTTAAGATAATTCAATAATAATATTAATAAAATAAATGATTTTATCAAATCAAAAGCATACATTTTTCATTAATATTATTATTGAATTGATAAGATTATTTTCAATTAGACTGCTGTTAAATATGCCATTAATATATTTTTTTCATACAGCACATACGAAGAAAATACATGTGCATATGTGTAAATATGCACATATTACAATACAATCAACACTTTATAATAAAGATCCTTCACTTACTATCTGGCATCTTTAAACGAGCGCACTAGATAATCATCTCTCACTCGTATTCTTACAGTATCTTGAGCAGTAGGTGCGACCACTAATCCTGGAAACCAATTATCCTTCTTCTTTTTATCGCCGAGTTCCACACAAACCACTCTACCAATCTCTGGTTCAGTTTCCATTCCTTCCTTTGCACCTCCACTGGAAGCCGAGTCACGAGCACCTCGTGGTGGACTGTCTTCATCTTCGCTGCTTTCATCCCTGTTGCACAAAAATTTTGTGTATTAGACAATTATTAGAACTTTTAGGAACATGTTTCTCCACTACACTTACTGTGCTTGCCTTGATCGTCTGCCCCTTCTACCTCCAATTACAGGGTTCCCAAAGTGCTCCGGATGAGTCAACGGAAGTTGATCCAACGTTTCACTTTCTGCAAAGTGCCGTCCACTTTTCAGACAAAGCGCGGTTCTTCTCAATGTCGTAATATCTCCATCGTCAAAGACCACAGTATATTGACTGCAGTCTTGGATTTTTGTAATCGTAGCTTCCACAAGTTCTTTTCGATCGACATGTTTGACTTCGACGGAAGCACCTACTCTTAAAGTCCCTCTTATTTGATCGTCGGCAACTGTAGCAGTTCCCAAACCTTGTGGTTTATAAGTAACGCGGCATTTTACCGATCGTACCACTTTACGGATTTTTGCTTCGCAAAAGGCACCCTTATATTTAGCGCTAACTTCAGTACCCACCGATAGGGATGGTGGATCGTCCCCCTGCAATAACAATAAATTTAATTATATATTAATGTTTAATATAAATATTATATTAATAATTTTCTATACATCAGAATTTGTAACACAAGTTTATCAAGTAGTGTTTAATAAATTAATAGACAAGTAATAATAATAGTAAAATCAAAGATGTATACGAAAATGAATTATCTTTTATATTGTATTATATATAACATTATTATAATGTATATTACATATCATATTGTGTAATGTAAATTAAACCTTTTTAACTTGAGACATTTGACTGTCGTTTACAAAAAAAAACCAATCTTTTTTTTTGGAGTAAAGTGTTGGGTTTTTTAATGTTTTTGCACAGTTTACAATTTATATTCCAAACAAAATCACTGATTTCAATTTCACTAATAATGACAAAATAATATTAATGTACACACACACACACGCACGCGCACGCGCGCGACACATATGCACAATAAAATTCTTTTCATACAAAATAATTAAATAAATTATATAAGTTAAACAGAAAAAATAAGATAATAAATAATAAAAAAACAAATTCATACTCTAAACTATGTTTTTTAATATTTTCTCCACTTAAAACAAGTATTTTAATTTAATAACTTCAAATAAAACAAAAATAAATCAAACATTCTCAAATAAGTACAAAATATAACTGAACATCAACATGTATATGTTTATCTCAAACATATTTGAGGTTTGCTCTTACATAGATTAATTAGTTTTTATTTAAAAATCAATTGATTTTTATTTAAAAAGTTACCACATAAAGACAAAATATGTGTACCATATGTCCTAATAATAATTTTAAAAAGCCCAATTAACTCATGTATGCTTGCATTATAAACAGCGATGGAGCGAAGAACACAAGTATAATACAAATAAAAAAGAGAGACATAAATAAAAAAAAGGAAAGCTAACAATAACAAAAAACGCATACACTTTGGTAGCCATAGTCATCCCACATAAATGCCTTTCACATTTAATGTCCATCTCTAGATTAACTCCGTTTTAAATTATTTTTTACCTTTTTCTAATTCTTATAACTGAAAAAATATAAAAATTAAATTAAATCGAGATTAACGTTGATCTCTATATCAACAGAAATGGACAAAAATACGAACAGACTACATGAAAATTTTCCCACGCATCCACGAGAGAAAACAGAAGTTTTCAGACCTCGTGAGATACATTTCCTACATGCGACAGCATTGCGTCAGGAGATTCGCGCATCCGGGCTCATCTCCAAAAGATAAAAAGAGAAAGAGGGAAAGGAAGGAGTAAAGGTGAATACGTATAGGTACATACGTGCGTGGGCGCGCGCAGAGAAGTGGAAGGGAGCGAGAGAGAAAGAGAGAGAGAGAGGGAGAGATGAAAGAAGCGCGAACGCGTCAAAGCGGTATGGCATAACGGACTCTGTAAAAAATATGAGAGGACAAAGTCAAGTCCACACGGGCATATATAGAACGAAACGCAAGCTTCCACGGCTACCGTTGTTGCTACCGTAATTGCTGCTGTTTTTTTGCTGCCATCGTTCTACGCTCTCTCCCCCCCCCCTCTCTCTCTCTCTCCCTCTCTCGCCTGTTTACTCACCAGCATCTTCTAGGCCTCCACGACGTGGATGTTAAACTCGATCAGATCAGAAACACTAGCGGGACATTAGAACAAACGCACATAAAACTTGCATCGTCCTGTACGTTCTTACTGTTTTGATGGTGAGGCAAATAGGACGCAGGCAGAGAGCAGTACTGCGACACAGATCGCTGACCCGTTTTAAGAATATGACACTTTCCGTAACAACCCCACGACACAAATGCGTACGAGCTTCTGTTCTCAGCCCATTTCCCAGCCTAACGAGACTATTTATCAGCCATCTCGGCCGATCTCATCGGGTCATGATACGACGATTTCTGTAACGTCGTCACATCGAAAGGTAAGAACTATCCGGAGCACGCAACAGCACGCAACGAACGTATGCGCCGTAGAGAACCGCACTGAACTGTACAACACCGTATACTACGCGTACGGCGTACGTCGCGGACTACCACCGGAAGCCGAACGACGAACCACACCCGGAAGTAACGGGCGATTTTTTTCTCCTTCGCGCGACCGCCGTCTGCGCGAAAAGCGAATGCACGCCACTCGGAGAGATTCGATACCGAAACGGCGCGACGCATATGCGCCTTCGCCAGGGACTTGCCAGGGACGTGTCAGCGATGGAATCTGAGGGTGCTTTACGCCGGGCCCGGATAAAGATCCTCGGGAAACTTATCAATATGGTATAGAAACAACAACTATGAATGTCTTCGTCAATTCGGAAAATATTTATGTTCACCTTGAATGAATAGACATTATATTGAATATATTGGAATTTGATTAATTAGAATAAAAAAATTTATTTATTATTTGATATATTCACCGACGAGATAGTATTAAAGACTGATATCCTTTACGGGAGTTCACGTTCTTATTAATATTGTAGTGATTAAGAGTAAAAAACTGATAACATTGTATTAATTTTATGATTTATTAGTTTTGTAGATGTCTTTATCGGTGTGTACATTAATTTAAAACTCAATAATATTCAATTTTTCTTTAAAATTGTGATTCCAATATTATCGTCAAAGTTTGATTATCAACAGAGATGATAACTGCAGCGAAAAAATTGTAATTTTTCGGCAATATATAGGATATTATAGCTTTACAAATAAACATATTAAATTTATGGAGCATTTGTGTAATAAAAAATCACGAATTTAATAATGTATTAATCAAATATTTATGTTAATAATAGCAAATTTATATCAATTATCGATAACATTAGTGTTTTTCAATTTCCGAGCCTTTTTTATACCGTTGAAAATTTGCCGAAGGTTGACGATTTTTATTGGTGCGACCACAATAGAAGGAATTAGGAATAAGGAATAAGGATTCCAACCTATCAGAAACCGTGTATTCCGATATATCCGATATCTGATAGGTTGAAATCTTTATTCCTTATTCCTAATTTCTTATTTCTTCTATTGTGTCTGAACCTTAATATAATATCTTGTCGGTGATATATTTTACTTTAAAAGATTTTATTTTATATGCTATAGTATACGTCACGTGTACTATATATTTCGAGTAAAATTTTCCTCAAAGAGGAAGTTTTGGAACGTAGTCTATCTGTTCGCGTTGCTTGCACTTTCTGCACTCGGTATCTTTGCTTTCTCTCTTTTCAAGGCCAAATATATATCTATCTCATTTTAAGTGTAAAAATATTTGGAGATTTCATTCAACGCGAACAGACCTATTGTATTAGAGGTGCATTATGGCTTCTGCACATTGGACGCGGAAACGCTTGCCGCGTCAAAATGAGACGCGGTAACCAATGGACACATTAGGAGCTGTAAGCTTATTGGCTACTGCATCACATCCTGCCATTACCTCCCATACAATAAATTATTAATAAATCAAATACTAGCATTTTACTGCCGCAGTGGGCTGAACACGAAAAGTCAGCTTTATTTTGAAGCCTGCGGCACACTTGTTTTCCTGCTGAATTGCAAGATCTGCTGGATTAGATAATATAAAATCTGAAAAAGTTTAAGAGGAATTTTTTTTCAGAAATTTTTATTAAAAATTCTTAAAACTATTATAAGATTTTATAAGAATTGTTATGTATAAAAATTCTTAAAAATATTACGAGGACAAACTGAAATTTGTATTAAAAGCCGATTATTTTTAAGCATGATTTGTTTCTCTGCGACATTGGATAAGTTCAGCGAATACAATGGGTGCGTCAAGGTGCATTCAGGGTATCGATCATGAAACTTTTTTCCTAGGATGAAAAGTGAAAAGTGAAAAATTTCTCCATTAACTTCAATGGTTAAAATTTTCACTTTTCACTTTCCATCCTAGGGATAAAATTTCACGATTGATTCCCATAACGACAACAGCTCACTGAGCCCTCAGTAAGCTCTTTCATCTGATTGGTCTATATTTTAGGATCTACTGAAATATGCCAATCAGATGAGAGCTCAATGTAGCTATTGTGAATCCCACATTTCAAGTACGCTGGGTTAAATTCGTTCGGAGTGATCCCGAGCAGCTCCCGAGAGACAAAACGAGAACAATGCTAATATTTCTACAAAATCGAGCTGATTATGCAGTGCATTCGCTTAATAAGTTATCAATTTTCTCTAAGATATTTACAAATATTTTTAGATTTACATGATATGATTTTGTTTATATAATTAATAATTTTTTCATGGCTTGCTTTTGAAAAGAATCGATAAGCCGTGAAGTATTCTCGAAAAAAACAAAATTTTCATATTTGCATGTCACGATCGCGATTAGTGAGAATTGAGAAATACTTCCCACACTATAAGTGACTGGTAGTGACGGGCCTGGGCGATGATCCGGTCGTCTGCTGTGACGCAGTCAAAATGGCGACGAGTGATGAAGTGCCGGTAGAAATCAAGCAAAATCGCGTGTGTACCACGGAAAATTCGGTGAGTTTTATGGAGTGGGTTGTTCAGTAAAGTAACGGAGAACTTTACCTCTAACGGGCTATTATCCACGCATCGATACGCTCCGTAAACAATAGATGCGCACTACCGGAGTACAAAATAGCTAGGACATCGGCTTTGTCATGATGAATATAGTCCTCACGCGTCTCGCACAGTAGAGATGCCCGCGAGGCTGTCGGCGCGAGTTGAGAATCACGTTGTCGCGATACATTTTCTGAGGCGATTCCGCGATTAAAAACATTAAATAATCCTGGCTACGGATACGCGGTTATCGAGAAGAGGGAGATTCGCAGTACTCGAGAGACATTCTATATAGGCCAGCGGAAACGATATAGCAATATCGCAGAATAGAGCGCGTGCTGGCAGGATATCGACTGGCCATTCGATTCGGAAAGAGACGCCATTTATTTTGGCGGGCACGTGTATTGTCGCCGGCGCGAGAACGAGTTCGTTGGACTATAGACCCTACGCTAATCGTACTTATGAACGTCATTGTAAATTTATTACTTAAACTATATTTATTTCTGTAGTATAAACAATAGTTGTAGGGTATGTGTGTGTGCTTTATACATTTATACAATGGAGTGTGATGACCGATACGTTCCTATGTGATTTACCTATTTTTTCCATACTGAAGCTAAGCATTTGTCGTTATTACATTGATTAAGTGATATTAAGCAGTGCAGAGCACACATGTCTACGTACCTGTGTTTTTTTTAGTAAAAACTTCTTGCACGATTCATCTCTTTACTCCTTTTCTTTTCATGTTGAAAAAAAAAGGATAAACTGTGAAAGAGGTTTAGGTTGAAAAAGACAGATATCATGAAATGAAGCTTTTTCCATTGTTATAATACAATCTCAATGAGATTATAAAATATTGTATTTTATAATTTTTATAATTCTCTGTCTGTAATCATATTTTTACTCTGTTTAGCCTGGTTTTTTTAACTATTTTAAGCTTTCAAAAATTGTGGAAAAATTCAGAATTATTTTTTAATATTTTTATTACATTATTAAATAGTTTTACTAAAGCCATTCTTTGTTTCAAAAAAATTTGAGTAAAATTTTACTTGTGTACCAAAAAGACTCTAATTTACAATTTTACAATTAATACTTATAAGCACACGATAAATTAAAGAGCAAAATAATTTAAATAGATTATTTGAATGGTCGAACAGTTTTTGATTCTCTATAAATATTACAGACGTCAGAAATGGAATCCATGGACATAGCAGCAGAGCCTACTACTGTGAATAAAAATGTTAATGCACAATCCTGCAGAGAATCCGTATCTGTTGATGATATGACATCAAGGGACTATTACTTTGATTCCTATGCTCATTATGGAATACATGAAGAAATGTTAAAGGATGAAGTACGCACTGTAACTTACCGAAACTCCATGTATCATAATAAACATCTCTTCAAAGGAAAGACAGTTCTTGATATTGGCTGTGGTACGGGTATTCTCTCCATGTTTGCAGCTAAAGCTGGTGCAGCCAAAGTCATTGGTATCGAATGCTCCAATATCGTTGAATACGCAGAAAAAATAGTAGAAGCAAACAATCTGTCCAACGTTATAACGATACTTAAAGGAAAAGTCGAAGAGGTTTCATTGCCCGATGGAATAGAAAAGGTCGACATAATAATATCTGAATGGATGGGCTACTGTTTGTTCTACGAATCGATGTTGGATACAGTGCTCTTTGCCAGAGACAAATGGCTTCGTGAAGATGGTATGCTCTTCCCTGATAAAGCGACTCTCTTCATTTGTGGGATTGAAGATAGACAATACAAAGACGAGAAGATCAATTGGTGGGACGACGTATATGGTTTTGACATGAGTAGCATAAGGAAGGTGGCCATTAGCGAACCGTTAGTGGATGTTGTCGATCCAAAACAAGTTGTTACAAATGCATGCCTAATTAAAGAAGTTGATCTGTACACAGTAACGAAGGCCGATCTTGAGTTCTCGTCACCGTTTACTCTTCAAGTCCGCAGAAACGACTATGTCCAAGCTTTAGTTACATTCTTCAACATCGAATTCACAAAGTGCCACAAACGTATTGGCTTTAGTACCGCACCGGAAGTGCCATACACACATTGGAAGCAAACCGTCTTTTATTTCGATGAGTATATGACAGTGAAGAAGGGAGAAGAAATATACGGCGTATTCTCGATGAGGCCCAATGCCAGGAATTACAGAGATTTGGATTTCAGCATTGAGTTAGATTTTAAAGGGGAGTTGTGCCAAGTACACGAGACTAACAACTA